GTAAATGTTTGGATTTTTTTTGTTAGTTTTGTTGTGTACGTTGTTTTTTTTTGTTTTTTTTAGGGGGGATTTTTTTTTTTGGGGGGGGGGGGTTTGGGGGGGGTTGGGGGTTGGGTTCGTGTTTTTTTTCTTCTTCTTCTTCTTCTTCTTCTTCTTCTTTCTTTCTTTCTTTTTTTTTATTCTTATTCTCTCTTTATTTTTTTTAACTGTTCGTTTGGGATGTGCTTTTTTTTTTTGTCTTTTGAGGCGTCCGTTTCCTTGTGTTAAGGTGTTCGTTTGCGTGTGTTCAGGTTTTCGTTTGTTTTATGTTCGTTTCTGTGTGTGATGAAGCGTATGTCTGTTTAAATGTATTTAAGCGTATGTCTGTTTACTATGTATTTTGAGATGTCCGTTCATGCGAAATAATGCGTCCGTTAAGATGTCCGTTTGCGTACGTTAAGACTTCCTTTCGTGTGGAATGACGTGTCCGTTTGTGTGCGCTGAATTGTCCGTTTATTTGCATTTAGATCTACAAGTTCTCTCAAGTTTTATATTACGTTTTAGTGTGAGGGGGAAAGAGAGGGAAGTGTGAGGGGAAAGAGAGGGAAGTGTGAGGGGAAAAGATAAGGAAATACGAAGGAAAAGAGAAAGGCAAAAGTAAGGGAAAAGAGGAAAACCTGAGGGGAAAGAATGGAAAAAATATGAGAGGTAAAGAGAAGGAAAATGTGAGAGGAAGAGAATGAAGGAAATGTGAAAGAAAAGAGAGGGAGAGTGTGAAAGAAATGTGAGGGGAAAAGGGAGGAAAGAAAGAGGTAAAGGGGGGGGGGAGGGGATGGATGAGAGATTTTGAAAAAATAATTTAGAGAAAAAGTGTCCCGCCAAATGGATGGGCATTTAACCGGAATTGAATTTTGTAGATAAAAAGGAAGAGACAAAAAAATGTCTGAATATTAATCGTCTATTGTAATTGGACACTTGCTGGGGAATTTTCATCAACCACTTCGCCCTCTTTCGTTTCTCTCTCCCTTCCCTCCCTCCTTCGTTTCTCTCTAAATCCCCTTCCTCCCTCATTTCTCTCTAAATCATATATATATATATATATATATATATATATATATATATATATATAGAGAGAGAGAGAGAGAGAGAGAGAGAGAGAGAGAGAGAGAGAGAGAGAGAGAGAGAGTAGAGAGAGAGAGAGAGAGAGAGAGTAGAGAGAGAGAGAGAGAGAGAGAGAGAGAGAGAGAGAGAGAGAGAGAGAAGAGAGAGAGAGAGAGAGAGAGAGAGAGAGAGAGAGAGAGAGAGAGAGAGAGAGAGAAGAGAAGAGAGCTAAACAAATTATCCATTTTTCCCCCTCGTACAGAATCAGAATCTCTCGCTTTCTCATACATTAGTTTACCAGTCCCGTGAGTACACAGGGAGAGGCCGCCTGCATACAGTATACGCGCCCGTAGTATATCATAAGATTATCTACGGGTCATATACTCGGCTGCTTACATCTTCTGCCTCTCCTTCGCCCAGCCTGAGACGGCCAACACTGACAGCAGTAAAGAGGGAGACGGAAATGGAGAGTTTATGCATAAAACACACACATACACACACACACACACACACACACACACACACACCACACACACACACACACACACACACACACACACACACACACACACACACACACACACACACACACACACACATACACGCATACACACACATACACACACACATACACACATACACACACACATACACACATACACATACACACACACACACACACACACACACACATACACACACACACACACACACACACACACACACACACACACACACAACACACACACATACATACAGCAGTTTATATATAGTGTACTGTGTGGTGCAGTGGTACCGTTCTCGTCTAGCAATCTTGGTGAATCTCAAAAAGAAAATAATAAGGTATATTGCTGACTGATATATCTTGGTGTCTGCGTACCTGTTGGTGTGTGGTAGCTGCCCTGGTTTTCTTGTCTTTGTTCATTTCATCCGTTCATGTATCGGTGTATTTGTGTATGAAGACATGTTTGTATGTCTGTCCGCCTCTCTTTTTTTTCTGTATAGATAGATAGAGATAGATAGACAGACATATGTGTGTGTCTGTGTGTGTGTCTATGTATGCATGTGCCTGTGTGTGTGTGTGTGTGTGTGTGTATGTGTATATATATATATATATATATATATATATATATATATATATATATATATATATACAATATGCGTGCGTGTGTGTATGTGTGTGTGTGTGTATGTGTATGTATGCATGTATGTATGTACTGTATGTTTATATGTATGTATGTATCCATCTGTCTCTCTCTCTCCCTCCTTCCCTCCCTCCCCCCCCCCCCCCGCTCTCCCTCACTCTTCCTCCCATTCCCTCTTTCTATCTCTCTCCCTCTCCCTCTCTTTATCTCCCTATAATAATTCCCTCGGAGGCAGCGCCGATACAAATCACCCCCCGAGTCCCGAGATAAAAGGCATCGCAGAGGAGACCATCTCAACGACCAGCAGATTCCTCAAGATTCCTCGTCGGGAAAGAAACCTCTGTCGGGGGGAAAAAAAGCTCAGTTGGGGGGAAAAAAAGCTTAGTTGGGGGGGGCGGGGGCGGAGGGGGAATCTCAGTTAGAAAAAAATATCCGTCGGGGAAAAAAAGCTCAGTTGGGGGGAAAAAAGCTTAGTTGGGGGGGCGGAGGGGGAATCTCAATTAGGAAAAAATATCCGTCGTGGGAAAAAAAAGCTCAGTTGGGGGGAAAAAAAGCTTAGTTGGGGGGGGGGGGAATCTCAGTTAAGAAAAAATATCCGTTAGGGAAAAAAAAAAGCTCAGTTGGAGGGGCGGGCGGGGGGGAATCTCGTCGGGAAAGAATCTTGAGTTAGGAAAAAAATCCTTTGAAAAGGAAAAGACCGTCGGGAACAAACTTTCTTCGGGAGAGAAGCGTCCTTCGGAAAAAAAATCCTCCGTCGGGAGGAAAAAAACCTCCGTCGGAAAAAAAAAAACTCGGGAAAAGAAACCTCCATCGGGAAAAAAACTCCGTCGGGTAAAGAAACCTCCATCGGGAAAAAAAACTCCGTCGGAAAAAAAAAAATCCTTCGGGAAAAAAAAACACCATCGGGAAAAGAAACCTCCATCGGGAAAAAAAAACTCGGGAAAAAAGTCCTCCGTCCTGAAAGAACCCCTCCCCCCACCCTACCTTGTCCTTGCCCCCCCCCCTTCCTCCTCCCTCCATCCCAGCCCCCAACCAACAACAAGGGATCCTTTCAAGGCTTCCCCCTCCCCCCCTCCCCCCCTCCAAGACGCAGGCCGTTTCCCAGGGCCGAGATTCGCTACAGCATTAAGGGTTTCCGCAGCGAGTCCCTTATCTCGGGGCTTTGTGCTCGATGCTCGCTTCTTCTTCCTTTCGGTTGGGAGGCGAAGAGAGGAAGAGAGGGAGGGAGGGAAGGAAAAGAGGGAATGAAGAGGAGAGGAGGAGGAAAGGATGGGAAGAGAGGGAGGGAGGGAAGGAAAAGAGGGAGGGAAGAAGAGAAGAGGGGGAATGAGGGGAAGAGAGGGAATGAAGAGGAAAGGAGGGGAAGAGAGGGAGGAAAGGATGGGAAGAGAGGGAGGGAGGGAAGGAAAAGAGGGAGGGAAGAAGAGAAGAGGGGGAATGAGGGAAAGAGAGGGAGGGAAGAGGAGAAGAGGGGAAGAGAGGGAATGAAGAGGAGAGGAGGAGGAAAGGAGGGGAAGAGAGGGAGGGAAGAGGAGAAGAGGGGGAAAGAGGGGAAGAGTGGGAGGGAGGAGAAGAGGGATAGGGGAGAGGAGAGAAGAGGGGAAGAGAGGGAGGGAAGAGGAGAAGAGGGGAAGAAGGAGAAGAGAGGAAGAGAGGGAGGAGGATAAGAAGAGAAGAGGGGAAGAAAGGGAGGAGGAGGGGAAGAGGGGATAGAGGGAGTAGAAGAAGAGGGAAGAAAAAGAGGGGGGAAGATAGGGAGGAGGAGAAGAGGGGAAGAGAGAGAGGGAAGGAGGAGAAGAGGGAGAAAGAGGGGAAGAGAGGGAGGGAGGAGAAGAGGGGAAGAGAGGGAGGGAAGGAAAATGGGACGAGGGAGAAGGGAGGAGGAAAAGAGGGGGAAGAGAATGAGGGAAGAAAAAGAGAGGAAGAGAAGGAGGAGGATAAGAGGGGAAGAGAGGGATGGGAAGAGAAGAGGAGGGGAAAGAGATGGAGGGAGGGGGAGGAAGGAGTTAGAGAGAAAGAAGAGAAAGAGAGAGAGAAAGAGAGCAAAGTAGTGGGAAGGTAGAAAGAGAAGGGGAAGAGAGGAGGAAGGGGAGAGATAAGCAGATAACGAGAGAGAGAGAGAGAGAGAGAGAGAGAAAGGGCAATAGGTCTTCATAAAATCTACGGATATACTTTGCCATGTTTCAATACGTCCCCCTTTTTTTCAACAAATTGTATTGTTTATAGGAATACATGTGTGTGTGAAGGTAAAGGATCTAAATGTCCATATGATATACAGGCATATATTCACATTATTAATAAAATAATAATAAAAATAGCTTTGTGTATATAGGTATACGTATGTGTGTGTTTGTGTGTGTGTGTGTGTGTGTGTGTGTGTGTGTGTGTGTGTGTGTGTGTGTGTGTGTGTGTGTCTAGATAGAAGACTAGATAGATATGTGTCTTAACGATATACAGACATATGTTCACATTACTGATGAAATAATACTGTGGATATTTTTTCCATTTTTTTGAATATGTAATGGCGTGTCATATTGCTCTTCGGAGCCAGAGAAAGAGAAAAAAAATAATCATAAACCTAAAAGACCATAGAGAAAATAACGAAAAAAAAAATTGAGTAAGGCCATAACATCATAACGTATAGATGTACTAAACATTACACATAGATAAAAAAAAAAAACATCTACCAGCTTGTTCAAGGGTTGAGAGGGAGATGAGAATAGGGGGGGGAGGGGATATTACCCACTGATCTTCTGAATAATTAGGCTGAAAACA